AAGCCCCCACCAAATCCACATCCGCACACACAGCACCCCCCACCAAGTCCATATATACAGCCCCCACCAAAACGCCCCACAGCTCCCCCCACCAAACCCCAACATGTGTCCCCCACTGGATTCCCCCCAAAGTCCCCCTGCACAGCCCCCCACTGGATCCACCAGCCCCCACCAGATACACATAGCCCCCCCGGATCCACATAAGCCCCCCCCACTGGATCCCCTACATAGCCCCCAGCCAAGTCCATCCACACAGCCCCCCACCAGATCCGCACACACAACCCCACTAACCTCCCCCACCCCCATACGTAACCTCCTGAGCAGACTCACACTGGATCTCCGAGGGGGTCCTCTCGGCCGGGCCGTGCTGCCCCCGAGAGTGAATGGTGTCTGGAAACATGTCATAAGTCTAGGAAAGAACACAGACAGTTGACACGCACCTGGCACTCGCTCGAAGTGCTTTACCCACATTTGGTTTTCACAACAACCCTCTGAGATGATCATAAGATTCAGGATGAGAAAACCAGCACAAAGAAGCAAATAACTGGCTAAAGATCACACAGAGACCAGAAGAGAGCTTAGCCAGGGTCAGGTCAGCCTGAGCCAAGATCAGGAATTTATCAAATGGGGGGTCCTGGGGGGCAAGATGAGCCCAGGGAAGATTTCTAATGGGTGGGTGCCCCTGGAGGAAGGCTCCCAGTGCTGGAAATACGCAAGTCAAAGGAACCTGACCCAGACCGCCTCTGCATTGCTTCTCATCTGCCCAGGCCAAGATCCATTCTTCAGCTCCCCTCACTTACCTCTAGGTCACAGTCCTCTGGCGAAGGGGTTCCCAGGTGTGGGTCATTGGCTTTGTCCAACAGCTGTGTGAGGAGAGCCCGAGGGAGGTGCTGGGTTGTGAACGGGTGCTGGAGGGGGGGGCGGCACAGGTTGGTTCCTGGCCTCTAGGGCCCTGCTTGCCAACCCCTCGGCCCCTGCCCTGCCCCCATCTCCCACCTGCAGAAGCTTCTCTGCTGTTGGCCTCTTCTTGGGGTTCTTGGTCAAGGCCAGTTTGAGGAAGTGGTGGAAATTCTGGGTCCTAGTGGGCACAAGAGCCCCCCACCCCCAGACCCAAGTTAGCCCTCATGTGGGGCATCCTGCCAGCTCCAAAGCAGGGAGTCTGCTCCAGGAAGGGGCCAGACTGAGGCCAAGGGCAGCCAGCCGGAGCGATATCGCTGTTGTGACCGGGTGGCTCCTTGGTCATTAACCATGTGCTCTCCCTCCCTGCCCACACCGGGTCCCCCGCACCCAGGGGCAGGGGCGCGCCCTGCCCACAGACAGTCCACAAAGGCTGAGAGCACAGAGCTCCCCAAGTTGCACCCTGGGAGTTGGCAGAAGGTCCTCCGCCCCCGTGGAGACTGCTGGAAAGGAGGCCCCGGCAGGGGACGTGGGCCCTCACCAGCGCGTCTTGTCTCTCAGCCTGGGCGGCTGGAAGCTACTCTTCGACATAAGCATCAGGGCCCTGTGGAGAGCACGAGGTCAGGGGACAAGGTCTGCAGGGCCCTGGAGGTCAGGCAAGGGGGAAGGTCAGTGTTCAGCAGACCTCATGGGGTGTAGATGGAAGAGAGGGGGCTGCAGCTCGCCCAGCTCGATGGCGGTGATGCCCAGGGCCCAGACGTCACAGAGCTCATTGTAGCCTCCTTTGCGTTCCACGGCGGCCACCTCTGGGGCCATCCTAAAGAGGGGGTCACAGATGGGATGGCCAAGTGCCTGATCTGTGCCCCCCCCACCCCCTCAGCCAAAGGCACAGCCTCACCAGTATGGAGTCCCAATGAAAGACCTCCTCTTAGCCACGGACGCCGTCAGCTCGCCTGACACCCCAAAGTCGGCTGCAGGGACAAAGAGCTGTTCCCACCTGCCCTCTGGCTACTGCTCCCCACCCACCTCCTGGGCTGAGGCTCGGAATGCACCTAAAGGGTTCAGAGAGCAGGCGGCCCAGGTTCAGCAGCAACTGCCACACATCCAAGTCGAGGCCAGGGCCCCCTCCAGGAGGGGTCAACCACCTTCTATCCCTGACCAAGTGTGGAGTCCCAGGTTAGACTCCATACAGACCCAACCACATCCAACCGCTAGCGGGGAAGGAGGGCGGTTCCATGTTCTCATCGGGGAAGCTGAGGGTTAAGCGGTGAAGTGACTCGCTCAAGGACACCCAGCCCTCCAATGCAGACCTTAAGACTCCACAGGCTTCCAGAGAAACCTCACCCTGATTGTGTCCCCGGGGTACTGACCCAGCTTGACATCTCCCTGGAGGGTGAGGAGAAGATTGGCTCCCTGTGGGAATGGAGGAGAGAGAATCCCGTCTGGTGCCCCCGAGAGCCTCCCCCTGCCCTCCCAGGATGCCCTTGGCGGGACCCCTACCTTGATGTCTCTGTGGATCTTCCCCTGAGAATGCAAGTGGTGCAGGCCCTGGGGACAAAGAGAAGCTCCTGAAAGCAGCCACCCAGGACTATCCCCCCTTTCCTGAGCCCCCTCTCTCAACTGGGGCCCCCCACCCAAGCAGCTTCCTCCTCCCCTCTCCCCAAACAGGAAGTGACTGAGCCAAGAGGGAAATGTGCTGCTTCCGGCAACAGGGCTGGGGCCCCTTCCCCGCCAGGACCCACAGCCCCTCAGGCCAGCTCTGCCTGAGCCACTCCACTCAACCCCCAACACACACACACACACACACACACACACACACACAGGCCAGGCCAGCTGGGCTCCCTGCCCACAGCTCCTGGGTACTGGGGGTGTGAACAGCCTTAGGGGCCCAGCTACCTTCAGTGCCTCTCGGCAGACATAGGCAATCTGCCGTTCCTCCAGGGGCCCGGTGGCTGGAATGGAATGGGTGAAGGCTGGCATGGAGGTCTGGAGAACATGCTGACCTTCCCAGGCCACCCCTTGTGGGGGAAAGCAGCAGGCACTGCCAGGTAAAATAGATGTTAACCACATCCCCTCCCTGCACAGCCTGGGATACAGAGCCCAGAGAAGGACACCGTTTCTCTCAAGGTCACACAGCCAGTGAGGAGTGGAGAAGGGCCCGAGTCGGGGACTCCAGCTCTCCTCTCCTGCCCCATGCTGGGGAAGGGCGGGCTGGGAAAAGGCTGTGGCCCTCTGGGGCCTGGAGTCCTGGTCCTCACCGTGGTAAATCTCCTGCAGGGACCCCCCTCCGCAGAACTCCATGCAGATCCACAAGCGGTCATTCCTGGGGGGCGGGGGGGGCACAGAACTGGGGTGGGCACACAGCAGAGCCACATGGGGGCTGCCTGGGGGTAGGCAAGGGGATAAAGCAGCCTCACCTAAGGTAGCTGCCAATATAGGCCACCACGTTGGGGTGACGGCACTCACGCAGGATGGTGATTTCCTGCTGGAGGGAGCTGGTGTCGTCCCCTGGGGAGAACAGGGCATCATGGGGAGGAGGCGCCTAGGGATTGCTCTAACTCAGTGCCCCCATCTGCAAAATGGGCACATCTGGGCCAGAAAGATCCCAAGCGACAGTACCTCCTGGGGCCTGCCTCTCAGGGGATCAACTCTCAGCGCCCTCCCGGCGCTCCGCCCTCCCTCCAGCGCAGAGGCCCTGGCCCCGGGCCCTCACCTGGGTCTAGCTTGACTATCTTGACCGCGGCCAGTTCGGACGTGACCGTGTCGCGGGCCTGCGGGGGCGGAGGAGGTGAAGCGGGATGAGGAGGGGGCGGGGCTGGGGGCTGGAAGCGCGGTAGGGCGCAGAGCCGGCACCCTCCCCGCCGCTCATCCGCCCGTCCGGCCGCCTGGCGCACCTTGTAGACGTCGCCATAGGTCCCGGCCCCCACGCGCTGCAGCAGCTCGAAGCGGTCCCGTGGATCCTGCAGCGACACGTCCCGCAGCAGCGCCATTGCCCGGCGCCGGGCGGGCCGGCGGGCGGGCAGTCGTGAGCTGCGGAGCCGCGGAGCCGGCGCGGGGCGGCGCGGGGCGGGGTGGGGCGGGGCAGGACCGCCGGGGCGGGCGCGGGTGTCTCCGAGGCCGCGGAGGCGGGGCCCGGGCCAGGGGCGGGGCCAGAAGGGGTGGGGGTGGGCGGAAAATGCCCCGCCGCCCGGCCGGGAGGAGGCGCCCGCGGGACAGGCCCTTGCCGGGAGGGGAAGCCCCGAGGCCGGGCGGAGCAGACCCGGCAGAGGCCCTTCGGCCGGCCACCGGTTCCCTGCGCCGTACAGGTGGGGAGCCCGAAGGCCAGAAGGCAGAGGGAAGAGGGGACACCCCTTCCTTGTCCCGCCCGCCCCTCCCGCAATTTCCCCGATGAAACACGGACGTGTACTTTTTTTTTTTTTTTTTTTACAAAATGTATTCATCTTCCTTGAACTGAAAAATAAATCTATGTACAAAACAGGAAGAGATCAGGCTCCCCTCACCCACTCGCAAACCCCTGCAGATTTCCTCCGGAGTCCCCTGAGACGGGCTGGACCTCGGGGAGGTTCCCAGAGGGTCGGAAAGAGGTCTGCTCTGATCTGGGGCCAGTTTGGTCAGGAAGGGGGCGGGGCTCAGGATTCACAGGCCGGAGACTGCGTTTCGTGTCCCAGACTCGCAGGGCAGAGAAGGGAAGAAGCTAGGATTTCCAAACTCTGAAAGTTTAAGTTCTTTGGGGTCGGGGGCTTGGATTCCCAAGGGATGGAAATCTGAAGTGCCGAATTGTACTCCTACGGGCCGAGCGGAGTCCCAGGTTCCCGAGTTGGAGGCGGGACCTGTGCTTCTGGGGTGTAGGGCGAAACCTTGGCCCCACAGGCCGGGAGCAACCGTGAGCAGCCCGGGTCTGGCCCAGGGTTAGAGCCTCGGTTCTGAGGTGGGGCTTGTTTCCAGTGCTTGGACCTTTAAAGATTAATGATGGAGCTCCAAGTGAGGTTTCCCTCGGCCGGCTGGGATTCCGGGGGGATGCGATCTACATTCCAATGACCAGCAGAGCCGGGGAGTGGTCTGCCCTCCCGCAAGTTGCAGCAGGGGTGGGGGGGCCTGGAGGAGGGGCTCAGGCCCCCTTGGCCCGGGGGCGGGGCTTGGGCTCGAGGGCCGGGTGGGGGTGACGGGGGTGGTCCCTCCTCCATCGGGACCGAGTGCCCTTGTCCCCCCACTGCAAGGGCCGGCAGGTAGTTCAGAGGCCCTTGCGCTGGCGCTTGAGGAAGGAAAGAGTGTAGTCGCTAGGTGTAGACACCTTCTGCTTCTTCATCTGCACTTGCGACTGCGCCGTGAGCTGCAGCTTGATGGCGCTCGAGTTGATCTTGGTGGCCACCAGCAGCTCCTTCATGCCTTTCATCTTCTCGCTCTGGAAAGTGAGCACCGGGCCCTCGGGCGGTGGTGACGCCGCAGGCGCTGGCGCCGGAGCCGTGCTGCCTCCTTCCGGGCCGCGGGCGGTGCCGGGGACCGTCCCTGGAGGCTTCCGAGGGGGTCCTGACATCGACCCCTGGCCTCCGCCCGGGACCTTATCCAGCGCGGGCTTCTTAGGCGGCGGTGGCTCCTCGGGCTTGGACTCACGTCGCGGGCCTCGCCGCCGTCCTTCCCGGGCTTCCTCGCCCCAAAGCTCCTCCGCCTCCGCCGCCTCGGCCTCCCGACTCACGATGCGCACCTTCTGCCGTACCTGGCCAAGGAGAGAAAGTGGAGGCCAGGCTGCAGGCCTGTGGCTGGAAGCCCAGGACCAGCCTCCGGCCGCGCGTCCCAGGGCCTCAGTCCTACCTACACCCAAAGGGGACAAGCCAACCCTCTTCAGGACCACAAAGGTTCTGCCTCGCCAGCCGCCATCACCCCCTAGCCTCCCCCGCAGGCCTGCACAGCTGCGCCTCACCTGTCCCTCGAACCGGCCTAGGGACTGCACGAGGAAAGTGGCCCAGCCCACGTGCAGCACTGGCGTGGGGCTGCCCTCTTCCCACTTGCAGATGCCGTCATAGAACCGCAGCAGGTGGGCAAAGCACTCCGGGTCCTGGAGGGCAGAACCCTGGCTCTGGGCACCCTGGGCAAGGGGAAAATATGTCTTAGATCTTTCAGAATCTCCTTCCTTTTGTAAAACCAGTCCTTAGCCAGGACTTGGGGGAAGGCAGAAGCCATCTCTTACCTATACCCCACCCCCCCCAACTGAATGAGGGGCACTGACCATGAGAGAGATGGGCTTCCACACCCTTTCCCTGCAGGCACAGAGTAGTAACCCCTAAAATATCCTCAGCTCCCTCAAAACCAGGCCAGGGACCCCCTACAGCAGATAGAATGTAGCTCTCCACGCGGGGCCACCTTCCCCCAGCAGGCCCAGTCCCACGCAGCAGTCCCTGTGGCCAGGGACAGGGAGCTCTGCTGGGGGGCGGGAAGGCCCGCAAGGTGAACACAGGCTGCCCCTCCAGCTCTTCACCTGGGTCTGCTCCCCTGGCCGCTCCTCGCCGGCCTCCAGCAGGCTGGCTGCCTCCTTCAGCAAGTTGGGGATGACATCATTGGCTACTTCAAAGAACTCCTTGTAGATCTCCTCGTCTTCACGGCAGTAGTTGTAGCTGTGAGAGCAGTAGGGCACTGTGGGGTCTGGGCCATGGCAGGGACCCCCAGGGACCTGGTGAGCGGATGGGGTCTTCCCTTGGAAATCATGGGTCTGAGTAAGCGGTGTGGGGAGCATGGGGCAGGGGGTACAAGTTCTCCCGCTGGATGGCATTGGTTGCAAACTGGGAGGCCATGGGAGCCAGGGAAAGGTGTGAAGCCCTCATCAAGGGGTCCCAGCCTCCTGGGTGATGGTGGCTTTGGCTGCCTGGGGACTGGAGGGAGAAGGGGTAGGGCTGGGGATCCAGGCCTCACGCCTGGATGAGGGTGGTTGGAAATTAGGTAGAAGGGGAAGGTCAGCCGGCCTGAGGCCCTGGCAGGGGGATCCTCACTCCTGGATGACAGTGGCCGTGTCAGCCCAGGCCTGGAGGGCTTCGCGCACATTGCGGTTGCGACAGTGGTAGCCAGCCAGGTACATGTAGGGGTAGATGTGCTCATCCCGGTAGTAGGTCTTGGCTGAGGCAATGCCCTGAGGACAGAGCGGAGGGACCTCAGGGCACAGGCCCAGTGGCCGTGGATGGCAAAAATCCCATTCCTTCACACCCATGAGGCGCAGTGGGCAGATCCCAGAGAGTCCCGCCTCTGATCTCGCCCCACCCCCCTCTATCCTCTCTGCCAAGTGCTCCTGCCCAGGCTCTGCAGGGGGCTACCTGTTGAGGACTGAACCACATTGCAGGGGGCAGAGACCCCCAGAGAACAAGGGCTAGGAAAGGGAAGGGACCCATTCTCCAAGCTCAGGACGCATCCATTTCCTGGGCTTTCAGACACACTCCTACACAAACACCAAAGGCTTATAAGCCCGGCCCAATGTCCCTCCTACTCCCCCACCCCCACAGAGTTAAACAACCCCTTCCCAGGGATCCCGCTACAGGTGACCTCTGTTATACTCTAGGACAATAACAGGCAGCAGAAAAAGCAGGGCTGAAGGGACAAATTCAGACCCCAGCCCTCCCACGCTGGGGAACACAGAACACCCCTCAGACAGCCCTCCGTGCCCTCAATACATGCAGGGCAAATACTAAATGGGACACGGATGGGCGATACCCCTCGATACACATCAAGTTCCTCTCTTCTCACCTGCCCCCTCCCCGTCCCCAAACAGAATGGGACCGAGCCACTGTTGGGCCTCCCTTCTGTACCCTCCTGAGATGTCCCCACCTTGTGGTAGAGGGTGAGTGGGTCTGGCCGGCCAGGGGTGGGCTCCAGTTCCTCCAGATCTGCCAGGTTCCCCAGTGCCATGGGGTACCTGGGAAAGGGTCATTGAGTCCAGGCTGCCTCCCAGCCACCCGCTCGGAGGCCCAGCCTGGCCACTTTCCCCTACTGACCTTTCCAGATGTCCCAAGTCATAGAGCAGCCAGAGCAGCTTCTGGGGGTGGGGAGCGAAGAAGAGAGAGAGAGAGAGAGAGAGAGAGGCATGAGGGGGAGGGGAGGAGGGTCTCAGTCTCCCAGGCAGATGGGAGTTTGGCAGCAGCAGGGACCTCCCACCAGGTGGGTGGGGCCAGAATTGAGGAACCAGCCCCTTCCGGGAGTCCGAGCCCTTTCACATCCCAGTTCTACCGTTCCCAAGAGCCCTGGGAAAGGCCAGGCAGAGAATGATCAACCTGTGTTCCAGAAGGGGAAGCTGCAGCTCAGGAAGGGAAGTGCCCCCACCCGGGGTTCCCCAGGCACCCCTCACCTGCTGGAGCTGCAGCAGCTCCAGGGAGTCGGTGTGCAGGTCGATGGAAGGGTTGATGGCACACACCATGAACGCCACCTCCATCTTGCGGTCACAGCGCAAGTATGAGCCTTTCAGGTACAGCCAGCTCTTGGGAAAGCACAAGACCAGATGTCTCAGGATGGCCCACCTGGGCCTGCTCCAGAAAATGACCGCCAGGAAAAGGGGATTCCCCCCCTTCTTGGCATATGGAGGTGATGCCAGGAAGAGGGGAGGTGGCTTGGGCTAGGAGAGAAGAGTACCAAGTGCACCAAGTGGGGGGAGGGGCAGTACCCGCTCAGCCACACCCGCGTTGACCGTCTGGCCCCTGCGATCTTCATTGCCCTTGCCATGCCAAGTGACCTCAGCTGTCTGTTCTCCGTTGGGCCCAAACACTACCCAGGCGTGGTCCTCGGACAGGGCCAGGTGGACATCTCGGAGACCCAGAGCCTGGCAGGCCCCCACCACGGCAAAGGCCACACCAGAGCTGTCCAGTTTAGTGCCTGTGGAAGGGAAGGGAATGCAAGAGGGTCCTCTGAGCTCTGACCTAGGGGAAGGGGCCAGGTCGTGATGGGCCATGCTTCCTCCCATGCTCACCTCCAAGCCTGTGCCCAAACCTGAGATGCTCCTGCCCATCCGTTCTCAATCCCTTTCCTCCTTTGTGTTCGAAGCCTCTCCCTCCCCCTTGACGTGCTGCAGAAGACCTTCTCAGCTTTCCCGCAGCTCCACCCAGCCTTTGACCCTGTCCCTTCTCTTTCTCTGCAACCACATTATAATTGCTTTATTGTGCCTGTTAGGTTATAACAGGGACGGCAAAAACGGGACCCTCTGGCCAACACTCCTTATTCATACACCCATTAGTAGATACTCCTAATTTCTCTCTGTACTCTTTTCCTGCTAGGCGCAGAAGCGGCCTCAGATTCCTTCTCAACGTGGCACTCCAGGACCTGATTGCCAGTCTACTGGGCTTGGAGCAAAGAAGAAAGTTCTTTGCAAGCCCCGAGTCTTATGCTCCTTGACGTGAAGCCCCTCCCTCATCTACTGACTTTCATGTAAGTGTCTCAAATGTAGCCGGTTTATGGCTCCTCACTCCCCAAATCTGCTCCTGCCTTCAGTGCCTCATACTGGGCTGAGGGACTCCTGTAGCTGCTCAAGGGCGGGGATGGGGGATACTGAGGAGGCAGAGTCAAGTGAGTGGGGTGCAGGCCATTCTGTGCCTTAGGCATTATCACTTCCCTTCTCTGGGCTTCAGTTTCCCTTGCTGCAAAGAGGGTAATAACACTTGCCCCACTTCACAAGGCTTACAGGTCTTAATGGGCTCTGCAAACCGGACAGGGTTGTGAAGAGGTGGGCCAAGGTTCCCAGGTGAGACAGGATTCTCGCCCTTTGCCACCTGTCAGGCTCCAACCTGTGATGAAGCTGAAGAGGGATTGGATGTGGGCCCGATCCTTGAAGTAGGAGCGGCTGAGGCTGTTCCAGATGACATCGGAGACCTTCTTCACCAGTTCTCTGCTGGAGACACCCCCCTCTCGCGGGTAGAGAGACAGGTCGACGGCGCCACGGATCTGGGCGGTGAAGCGGGCATACAGCGCAGCGATGATGGACAGGTCAGCCACAGGGAAGTAGGTAAGCCCGCCAGGTGGGTCGGGCGCGGGGCTGGGCTGGAAGGTGAGCTCGGGCACATTGGTGGGGATGACGCGGTTGACAGCAAGGAAATGCTCCACGAAGCCCAGTACCAAGGACAGGAGCACCAGGTCCGGTTCCTCTCGGCCCAACTCGGCAGCGAACAGCCGCACCACGTCGTCGATGGAGCGCAGCGGGAACAGCGTCTTCTGGGCGGCCTTCAGCCCCATGGCGGCGGGCCTCGGCCTGCGGGCGAGTCGGAGGAGGGAGGGTCGGGCGGGTACGACCGGGGAGCCCCCTCCCAGGCTCAGCTAAGGTTCTACACCCCCATTCCCTACATTCTCTTGCTTTCCTGCCCCCCGGCCCTCCGCTCGTTTGTTCCCCCTCTTCCGTGGAAGACCCCTCAGCCGAGGCTGTAAGGGCCTCCTCGTCCCCCACAACCCCAGGAGCCGCGGCCCCGACGGGGGTGCGCCCCTAGGACTCCGCTGGGGAACCCTCCCTGGCCGCCCCGCCCCCTCTCTACGACCGCACCCCCGGGCACCTAGAGTCCGTCCTGAACACGCCCTTAGGCCAAGCCCCCCAAATCCCAAGGAGAGTCCTGGCCTGGGTCCCCCGCGCCCACCTCCGCGCTTACATCCCACACAAGGCACCACGGCGCCCGCCGCCTGGAGCCTGCTGGGAAATGGAGTTCCGCCCCTTGGGCCGCACCGCCTGCCGGGAAGTGAAGTCCCGGGCCCTCTCCTGTCCCTGCCGCGTCTTGAAATGGTGGCCGGCCCGACAATCCGCGGTGGCTGATGGGAGTGGTAGTCCCGCAGCTCTGGGCTCCCGAGCAGTAGGTGAGGAGTGGAGGCTGCGCCACCTTCCTGAGATCCTCCGGGATTGGTCACTCCATTTCACGCCCTCCAGGTAGGCCGTGGAAGCGCGGTAGATTGTGGGAGATGTAGTCCAGGGAGTGACGCAGGCATTCTTCAGGCTGCCTCTGGCTTCGGCTGTCACATGTCGTCAAGATGTGAGGAACACGGGTACTTTTAAACACTGCAGGGTTCCGTAAGTGCCTTCAAACCCTTGAGTTGGGTATTTATCCGTATCCATTAATATGTAAATGTGTCTACTGTATCTAGCAGTTCTTCCCTAGTTCTGTTCTTCAGGAAGTTTAATATATGCGCAAAGAGGAACATTTAAAGAATCATTACAGGGTCGCCTGGGTGGCTCAGTGGGTTAAAGCCTCTGCCTTCTGCTTGGGTCGTGATCCCAGGGTCCTGGGATAGAGCCCCACATCGAGCCCCACATCGAGCCCCACATCGGGCTCTCTGCCCAGCAGAGAGCCTGCTTCCCACCCCCTCTGCTGCCTCTCTGCCTACTTGTAATCTCTGTCTGTCAAGTAAATAAATAAAATCTTAAAAAAAAAAAAAATAGAGCCTCCAATGCGTGAGAGTTCCTGAGTGGCATGTTTGGCCTTTGCTAGGAACATGAAGAGTTTCCCTGCAATAATTGGAGAGAAGGCAGACTACATGGGCACATGTAGTCTTGGGGACTTTAATGTTCTCGGTGAAACAGGAAACCCAGTTGGTGGTCTCTTTCCCTCCACACCTTTGCTCAGATGTCACCTTCTCAATGAGGCTGACCCAGCTGACCAGCCTACTTGAGATCACACTCTCTGAGGCACCTGGATGCACCAGACTCTTGATTCCAGCTCAGGTCATGATCTCAGGGTCCTGGGGTAGAGCACCCCCCGCCCCACCCTACCCCACCCTCACCCCCTACCCGCGCCCTTGGGCTCTGCACTCAGGAGGGAGTCTACTTGTCCCTCTGCCCCTCCCCCATGTGTGCGCGTGCTCTCTCTCAAATACAGTCTTTTTTTTTTTTTAAGATTTTATTTATTTATTTGACAGAGAGAGAGATCACAAGTAGGCAGAGAGGCAGGCAGAGAGAGAGAGAGGGAAGCAGGCTCTCTGCTGAGCAGAGAGTCCGATGCGGGGCTCGATCCCAGGACCCTGAGATCACTACCCGAGCTGAAGGCAGAGGCTTAACCCACTGAGCCACTCAAGTGCCCCCTCAAATACAGTCTTAAAAAAAAAAAAAAGATCATACTCTCCAGCACAAATTTCTCTTTCAGTCCCTCCACCCTGCTCTACTCACCCCCACCCCACCACCAAATGAGTAACACTTTCTAGAACAGAGTTTCTCCACCATGGCCCTATTGACATTTGAGCCTAGAAAATTCTTTGTAGTTGGAGACAGCCCTCTGTGCTCTGGGATGTTTAGCAGCATCGCTTGCTTCTATCAACTAGATGCCAGTAGCCCGTCTTCCCCTGTTGTGACAGCTGATAATGTCTGCAGACATGGCCAAGTGTCCCCTGGGGGGGGAGCAAGATTACTCCCAATCTAGAACCACCTTTCCAGCATCTTATATAACTTATTTGTTCATTGTTTGTCTCCTCCCACAAAAATATAAGCTCCACGAGGACAGGATATTGTCTCTTTCATTCACTGATGTGTCCCGTATGCCCAGAATAGAGTCTGGCATACAGTTGGTCTTCAGCAAAGATTTGCTGAATAAATAGATGAATTCTGCCAGAGAGAAACTATAATGATTGACCTGGAATTTATGCTGTGTGAGGAGGGATGTAAGACACATCAGGGACGAGCGACAGCCCAAGTGTGGCAAAATCAGTGGATTGTAGGTTCCAGTGGGGTCAAAAGTTTACTGGAGTTGGGGTGATAGAGGGAGCTGGAAAGATAGGGGTGTTGGCTAGAGATGCTTGAGATAGGGATGCTTGGGATCGAAGTTACAGGGAGAGAGCTGTCGTTATTGGCAATGAAAAGACCTAGCACGGTGCTTCCAGTAGAAATGTAATATGAGCTATATATATATAACTTTAAAATTCCTAGTAACTACATTAAAAAAAGTAAAAGACTTAAGCAAAATTAATTTTAATTATGTCCAAATGTTATTTCAAGTTGTAGTCGATATAAAAAATATTAATGATAATTTATATATTTTTTGACACTAAGTTTTTGAAATCCGCTCTATTTTATATGCAAAGCACATCTCACTTCAGGCTAGTCCCTTGTCAAGGGCTCCAGAGCCCATGTATTTGGTGGCTGTCATGCAGGCGGAAGCAGCTTTCTGAGATGGCTATGGGAGCGTGTGGCTTGGGCAGAGTGGAAGAACACAAGATGTCATGGGAGAGGAGGGTTCAAGGAACAGAGAGACCCAACGCTGGGTCATCCATATGTTCTATCAGAGTCTCTAAGAATTAAAACTGGAGTAGGAAGGAGAGAGTGACAGCAAGTCAGGAGCTAGAATGCATGCCCACCTGAGTGTCTGAAAGGAGGGAGGAGGGAGGGTGTCCGTGAGCGGCAATGAGAATCATGGAGAGCACCTACCCCACCTCCAGTCCCAGTGATAGAAGGAGGTGCAGTAGTGACCTCAGGTTCCTGCTAGAGCGGGGGGGTTAAGGACCATTTACAGAAGGGGATGAAGACTTGGGGGATTTTGCTGGAGATGGCCATGAGCCTGGAGGGCACCGTGGATTCCTAGTAGGAACTGTGCATGGAGATGAGGTCAGAAAAGGGGACAGCCAGAGCATGGAGACCCTAGGTGGCCTGAGTCCCTTACAGGGATGCTGAGCAACAGGGATAAAGGGCAGGACTAGTTTTGATGGTCCTGAGGCAGGAGTGAGGTGGGGGGCCGGTGTGAGGGTGAGAGTACCGAGGGCTGGGCTTCCTGCCAACAGTAGGAAGGGCCCTAAAGCTCTGACTTGATTTCTGCCGATGGAAGCAAGGTGACTTGGGGAGGGTAGCCCCTCTTGATGGCTGCCAGTGTATGTATATATTGGGCATATATGGCAACACAGAGACATAAATTCACCTCATGGGGGGAGGGGAGAGAGTCACAGCAGAATTCACTCTCTAATTTACAAAACAAAAGGTTTCATAATTAAATTTAATAAAATTTTTAAAAAGATTTTATTTATTTATTTGACAGAGACACAGCAAGAGAGGGAACACAAGCCAGGGGAGTGGGAGAGGGAGAAGCAGGTCTCTCACCAAGCAGGGAGCCTGATGCGGGGCTGGATCCCAGCACCCTGGGATCATGACCTGAGCCGAAGGCAGATGCCCAATGACTGAGCCACCCAAGCACCCCCCAAATTGATTTAAAATAGCATCAACTATGTAATATTCTTTTTTAAAAAATTTTTTATTTATTGGGGCGCCTGGGTGGCTCGGTTGGTTAAATGTCTGCGTTTGGCTTAGGGCATGATCCCAGAGACCTGGGCTTGAGCCCTACATCGGGCTCCCTGTTCAGTGGGGAGTCTGCTTCTCCCTCTCCCTCTGCCTCCCCCCCTACTCTAGTTCTCTCTCACTCTCTCTTTCATTCTCACTCTCAAATTAAAAAAAAAAAAAAAGACACCAGCCCCCAAAAAGATTTTATTTATTTGAGAGAAAGAGTGAGCACGCACCTGTGAGTGGGAGTGGAGGGTACAGAGGAAGAGGGAGAAACAGACTCCCCGCTAAGCATGGAGCCTGATGCAGGGCTTGATCCCAGGACCCTGAGATCATGACCTGAGCCCAAGGCAGACACTTACCGACTGAGCCACCCAGGTGCCCCGGCTATGTAATATTCTTGACAAAAAAGTTAAATGTGAAATTAATGGGGAAACCATCAGAAATTTGTAAATTGCAGGCCATTCTACAAAACAACAGGCCTACCTAGACCCATGAAAAAAGAATGTTAATATCATGGAGGCAACAAAAATGGAGTCCAATAGAATTGTTCTAGGTTAATGGGAGACTAGAGAGCCTGGACCACCAAATGCAACCTTTGATCTAGAATCAGATATCTGATTTTTTTTTTAAATGCCATAAAGTACATTTTGGGGGCGCCTGCGTAGCTCAGTGGGTTAAGCCTCTGCCTTCGGCTCAGGTCATGATCTCAGAGTCCTGGGATAGAGCCCTGTATTGGGTTCCCTGCCCAGTAGAAAGCCTGCTTCCCTCTCTCTCTCTCTCTCTGCCTGCCTCTCTGCTTACTTGTGATCTCTGTCTGTCAAATAAATAAATAAAATCTTTAAAAAAAAAGATTAAAAAAAAAAGAACATTTTGGACACAGTTGTACCATGGAAGGCAGCTATGCTCACCACTATACCACCAACGCCCGCTAACAGTTGTACCATGAATTGGGCAGCTTAAACAACAGAAAAACACAGAAACGTCTTGTCTCCCCATCTGGAATTTGGAAGGCTGAGGTCAGGGTGTCCGCCAGGCTGATTCCCTCTGAGGCCACGAGGAAGAATCTGGTCTAGACCTCTCCGCAGCTGCTGGGGGTTTGCTGACAATCTTTGGTGGTCCGTGGCTTATAGAAGTGTCGCCCTAATCTTTGCCTGCACCTTCACATGGCCTTCTCCCTGTGTGTCTTTGTGTCCAAGTTTCTCCTTTTTAAAATTAAAAAATAATGGGGGGGGCGCCTGGGTGGCTCAGTCAGTTAAGCCTCTGACTTTGGCTTAGACCCTGATCTCAGGGTCCTGGGATGGAGCCCAGCGTCAGGCTCTGAGCTCAGCATGGAGTCTGCTTCTCCTTCTGCCCCTCCCCGTTAGTACTCTATCTCTCAAATAAATAAAATCTTTAAGAAAAAAAAGGTAAAAAAAACTTTGTAA